AGCTACATGAAAGCTTTGCCGAAGAATCCCGAAATGTTAGGCTCGGTCTTGCAAGTGACGGTTTCCAGCCTTTCACAAATTCAAAAGTTTTTTATAACATATGGCCTGTTTTACTTGTACCATATAACTTACCACCATGGATGTGCATGAAGCAATCCAATTTTATTTTATCTATGCTCATTCCTGGTCCAACTGGTCCTGGAGATGCTATTGACACCTACTTACAACCATTGATAGAAGAACTAAAGGAGTTGTGGGCCTCAGACGTTCGAACATATGATGTATCTCTGAGACAGAATTTTATTTTACGTACAGCACTAATTTGGACTATTAATAATTTTCCTGCTTATGCAAATTTATTTGGATGGAGCACTAAGGGGAAATTAGCATGTCCTTGTTGTAATAAGCACACTCACTCTATCAGGTTAAAATATGGAGGCAAATAGAGCTATATGGGGGCATCGTCGCTATCTTGATAAAAATCACAGTTGGAGAAAGGATAAGAAATCATTTGATGGCACTAGGAAGAGAGGGTATGCAACGCCGAAGCTAACCGGAGATGACATCCTTAAGCAGGTGGAAGATCTTATAGGGATCACCTTGACCAATTATCCAGAGAAGAAAATTAAAATATCACACGAAAGACAGGGAGATAATTGGAATAAAAAAATATTTTTTTTGATTTGCCATATTAGAGAACTCTCTTATTGCGACATAATTTAGATGTCATGCATATTGAGAAGAATATTTGTGATAGTCTGCTGGGAACAATCATGAACATTAAAGGAAAGACAAAGGATAATATCAAAGCCCGTCTCGATTTACAAGCAATGAGTTTAAAACCGGAGTTACATCCAATCCAAAGAGGAGATAAACTTGTGATGCCAGCAGCTTGTTATACTTTATCCCAAGAAGAGCAAAGCAAATTTTGTGGATTTCTAAAGGAGTTAAAAGTTCCAGATGGATTTTCATCCAATATTTCTCAATGTGTAAACCTTAAAGAGCGTAAGATTTTAGGGTTAAAGAGTCATGACTGTTACGTTCTTTTGCAGCGCTTAATTCCTGTATCGATTCGTGGCCTTCTTCCTGCAAAAGTGTGTGAACCAATTATTGAACTTTCCATATTCATCGATTCGTGGCCTTCTTCCTGCAAAAGTGTGTGAACCAATTATTGAACTTTCCATATTCTTTACTATATTATGTGCCAAGACATTAAGGGTGGATGAACTTAAGCAAATTGATGAGCAGATTCCACTTACGTTATGTAAGCTTGAGAAGATTTTTCCACCTTCAATTTTTGATGTCATGCTGCATTTAGTAGTTCATTTAGCATCTGAAGCCATACTTGGAGGGCATGTTCGATTTCGATGGATGTACCCAGTGGAGCGTCAGCTTTATACTTATAAGTCATATATCAGAAATAGGGCACGTCCAGAAGGGTCAATTGCAGAAGGATATATAGCAGATGAATGCATGACACTTTGCTCAAGATATCTAAAAGGCTTCGAGACAAAGTTTAATCGCCTTGAAAGAAATTATGAAGATGACAATAGAGAATGTAATGAAGCACAACTATCTATTTTCAGACATAGTGGGCGGGCATTGGGTGCTGCCACCACCCGCTACCTTGATGAACGTGAGTGGTTGCAAGCTCATATTTATGTTCTAAAGAACTGTGATGAAGTGCAACCACACATTGAGTAAGTCACTAAAGTTTAAGATTCTACTAATAAATTTACTATAGTTAGTCAACGTTAATTATATTTATGATATTTTAATGTAGGGACTACAATGAATTCGTGAGAGAACCCACAGATCACTATGATGATAAGGATTAGGATAAGAACTTTATCGAGTGGTTCCAAGCTCTAGTACGTACATATCTTGCCTTATTTTTTAATATCTTGATTGGTTCATTTTATTACATGTTCCATGACTTGGTCATATTTTGGTTTTGTTTAGGTTTATCAGAGTTATCGAGAAGATGATGACTTACTTTCATTATCTCGTGGCCCAAGTAAGATTGTTAAATGTTTTACTGGATTTGTCATAAATGGACATCGATTTCATACAGAAAGTCGAGATAATTATTTATCAACTCAAAATAGTGGGGTTGTAGTTGTTGGTGATGCTGGTGATGGTGGAGATATAGATTATTATGGTGCTTTGGTTGAAGTTGTCGAATTAGAGTATCCTGGTAGAAGAAAGGTTGTTCTATTTCGTTGTAAATGGTAGGATGTGCACGGCAAAGGAAAATGGACCGCTTTGAAAGAAGACAAATATAGATTTATCAGTATTAACTACCGACACTTGCTAAAGACGAATGACCACTTTATACTTGCTGGCCAAGCATCACAAGTTTTTTATGTTGAGGATAATGCCAATGAAGGTTGACACACAACCCCGTGATTCCTATGATATGCCACAAGATACAGATGATTGTGAGATAACAGACGATGGAGTTGAAGCTTATTTGCAAGATGAATCATTTGATGCTCAGGCTATTACATCAACATCATTGGAAGATGATTATATCAATTTGAGAAGGAGTGATATTGATCCAATTATTGTAAATTCGGTCTCAACTTTAAAAAAGAGGAAAAAGACTCAAGCAGAGAATTAGAACGCTTTAATTAAAGAATTGAACACAAATGATATTGTATTATTGAGATAAATTTTAAGTTGTATCTTACTATAACTATTCCTTTTTTAGACATATGATGTTCTTTTCTTCATATTTTGGATGTGGCTTTGACATTGCAGCAAGTGCTTCTACATTAGTGTATTATGTATTTATTATTATGCTTGTCCTTAGGGATTTCTTTTTCTTTTATTCATTTCTCTTTTGACATTTGTTTTATACATAGTGTATGATACTTAAATTCCTATTCATAGCAGAAAAATGAAAACTCAAGAAGTCACTTCCAAAAGCAAAAGGGCACAATTTCTAGCACCCAGGTCATTAATTAGGAAGCGACTTCAAGCACTTGCAGAAAATTCATTAAGAAGGGAACAACTCCGTACTTGTCATGACAAGAACTTGAATATTCAAAATCCAATACAAGATTAAAATATGGGTACAAATTTTAGTGCTGATTCAGAAAACTTTGAAGAGGAGAATTTTGCACAAAATCGCAGGAGAAGTGCAAATACTAACAATGAAGAGAATGATGATTCTGCAGGTTGATGAGACTTAAAATTTATTATTATTTCTTTTTTATCTTTCAATTTATTTTTTATGATTGGATTAATAATTGCCCAATTTTTTGCAGAATCAAATAATGATTGACTACTTGCACTAAAAAAATATGATTTTTTACTTAATAAGATAATATTTGCTTAATTGATATTTCTTAATTATGTGATTTTTTTTAAAATTTTTCAGGCTATCCATACAAGATTAGGAGGGGGGTAGCTAGAGTCTTCTTTTGACGATAATTAGAGGTGTCAGAGATGTGTCTTCCCTAAACTTTTATTTTAATTTGTTTTAGATAGTTTCATATATTTTTATTTGGAACAATTAGGATATTAACTCTTATTATTAGTATTGAATATTTGAGGATGGTGGAATTTTATTTATTGATGTTATTAATGAATGAAATTTTTATTTTACCTCTTATTCATTATTAGGTATTTTTAATATGTTTTTGTTGTGAATCTTAGTGTCTGGTTGAGAATAATATGATAGTTGCCTATGAATGGAAAATTTATTATTAATATATATTAAAAATTAGTAGTCTACAATGACGGTTTTATAAACCGTATTTTGTTCATCAACGAAGGGAAAGCACCGTTGTTGATGTGTTACTAATTACCCATTATGTGGACTTTTACGACGGTATCCAACCGTTATTAATTAGTCTTCAACGACGGAAAAATATCCCTGTAACTAATGGTAACGATGGAAAAATATTCCGTCACTGATGGTAATGACGGAAAAATATTCCGTCACTGATGGTAACGACGGGAAAATATCCCAGTTACTGATGGTAACGACGGTGATAATTACTGTCGTAAATATTAATGATGGTAATATGTTTCGTCGTTATAGACTCTATAATGACGGGTAGTATATCCCTTTGTGACCATTTAGCGAAGAGGGCTTCAACGACGGGTGACGAAGGGATTTTTCTCCGTCGTTAGCATACAATAACGAAGGTTTTCAGCTCTTTAACGAAGGGAAATCCCTTCGTTAAAAATATAGAGAAGGGGCGGTGAGGCATTGCGGGGGTGGCGAGGCAAAGTGGGGGGAACAAGGCGTAGTGTAGGGCGGCGAGGTGCGGGGGCAGGTGTGGGAGCAGAAGAATAAGCTGGAGGTGGAGGGCTTGAGATGGAGTTGAAAAGAATAAGGTTAAGTTTTTGATAATTTTTTTTAAGGGAGGGCCCATCATTGGCGACAGATTAGCCATCGCCAATAGGTAATGGCGATGGCCGATCATTGACGACGAGCATGGACAATGAGTGGATACATTGGCGACAGTCTACTACTCTGTCGCTAGTGACGGGCGTCTGCCTTCGCATTTGAGTAGATCAGAACATCTCCCACGATGCAGGAGGTTCTGAAGATGCGTACTCCATTCATTCCTTGTTCTTCCAAATCCCTTTGGGGTTAAAAAGTCATTTTTTATACACTATTGAGGAGGGCATGTGCATTGTACGCAATGCACCCCTCCCCCCTGTAGTGTAGATTTAGATGAACCTCATATACTTGTAGAACTGATTTTTACTGATTTAGAGGATATTTTAAACTTCTTAGTGCAGTATAGATTTTTTTTTCTTCAAGATTATTAAGATGGGAGAGAGAATGTAAGAATCACAAAGTTTATGCATATTTTGTTAAGCATATTTTCATGAATAAGTAGCATTTTTTTTTGGTCAATGAAAAATTTTATTCATTTAACCATATGAAAATTTTTGTACATCATGATTCTCATAATATGAGAAAACCTATATATTTGACAGATATACTAAAAAACATCACATATACTCCGAAAAACTATTTACAGTGATAAAACCCATTCTCTATCTTCCGGAGCAGTATTGCCATTGAGTATTAGTATCAACATATCAACTTTGATCTCTTTAACTAGCTGATCAGGCCCTTTGGATTTCTGAATAAAAATCCTGGAGTTCCTTTCATTCCAAATCTTGTATAATGAAGTGTTAAAGGCCATCCTCTTAATCCTTTGCTTAAAACCCTTGCCTCTCAAACTGGTAGTGAACCATTCCAACATACAATTCCAGTTACAAGAACGCCATCTGAAGTTAAGCCACGACATGATCTTGTTCCAGACATTCATAGAGTATTCACATTCAAAAAAGAGATGGTCACGACTCTCTATTGCATCACCATTGCAAAGATAACAGGAATTTGCATTCAGTACCCCCATCCTAGCCAACCTGTCTTGTGTTAGCAACCTGTTTTGAACAGCAAGCCAACTTATGATGGAGTGCTTAGGGTAATTTAAATTTCCCCAAACAGTATTATACCATGGAACTTTGAGGGAAGTTGGAGATAGAATTGTATACAAGGCTGATGGTTTAACTTTAGAATTCTTGTAGCAAGATCCAATGATAAGCTTCAGGTTATCAGCTCCTCCAGTTAAATCCAAAGCCTTATCTCTGATTTTCAGCATTTGTTTCCAGAGCCATGAATCAGTTGTTTTAGCATTAACAGTCCAGATATCATTGTGTTTTAGATAAGTACCATGGATCCACTTAATCCATAGGAGCTCTTTATTCACATGAATATACCAGATATTCTTCAAAGCAGCAGCAAAATTCCAGAGTTTAGCAGAGAAAATTCCTAATCCACCAAATTTTTTCCCCTGACAGATTTTCTCCCATGCTACCAGAGAAACTTTTTGCTTATGATCAGATTTTCCCCACAAAAAATCCCTATTCATTTCATCAATTCTCTGAAGTACTTTCATAGGCAGAATGTAGCTAGATGTCCAATAGATTTGGACACCTAAAATCACACTTTTTATAACTTGTATTCTGCCTGCATAGGAGAGGCTCTTGGAAGACCATTTCTGAAATTGATTGCTAATCCTGTTGAGCAGAGGATTACAGTCCATATATGAAAGTCTTTTGCATATGAGAGAGACTCCAAGATATTTAATAGGTAGATTTCCTTCAGTGTAACCCAACAAATCATTTATAGAAGCCTTAATCCTTTCATTTACACCCCCAAAGAAGATATGACATTTGTTAGGATTAGCCTCAAGCCCAGAAGTTGCACTGAAATTTAGTAAACACTGCTGAAGCTTATTGACTGATACCAGATCTCCCTTGCTAAAAAGTAATAGATCATCAACAAAAATAAGATGAGTTATCTTGAGCCTTTTGCATTTCGGATGGAAATTGAACTGTTTGTCATTGCTCAATAAATCCAAACTCCTATATATCTTTTGTTTATCTGAATCGTCAACTTTATGAATTCTTGCCTTTTTGTCTAATTATTGCTCTATTATACAATTGATGAATTCTTGCATTTTTATATATATCTTTTGTTTATCTGAATCGTCAACTTTATGGTTTGCACTATAAAAATTCAACTATAGATGTGGGTAATTGTTAAGGAAAATATATTTACAAAATGTTCTAGTAAATTGATTTTAAGTGCTTTTGATTTTTTCTATAGTCAAATATTTACTCATTATAATATTTTAAGTGCTTTTGATCATTATTTTGACTATAAATTGATTTGATCATTGAGGGACCAAATTGCAAGGCCTGTTGAAATTAGAGGGGCTTGTGAGCAATTTAAAATATGTGAGGGACTAATATGAACTTAGTAAAGAAGTTTTCAGTCCCTTGTATATTATGCCACTGTAAATTGATTTATGCCACTCTAAACTGATTTGGTCAGTGAGGGTTCAAATTGCAAGGCCCCTTAGAATTAAAGGGGCTCATGAGCAATTTAAAATATATGAGGGACTAATATGAAATTATTAAAGAGTTTTTTAAGGACTAATATGAAATTATTAAAGAGGATTTTAGTGAGGGACAAAATTGTGAGGCCCCTTGGAATTAGAGGGGCTCATGAGCAATTTAAAATATATGACGAACTAATATGAACTTATTAAAGAGGTTTTTAGGGACTAATATGAAATTATTAAAGCGGTTTTCAATCCCTTTTTTATGCCATTGTAAATTGATTTATGCTACTGCAAATTGATTGGTACCAAACTAGTTGTTACTGTAAAGAAAACATACAGTCATGACTTGGTTAACTGGAAATCAAGATCAATCGACTGAAAGCACTATTCGGTCGACGGACTCTATTGGTTGATCGACTGATCGACTAACAAAACTAATGTTGTCAAAACAACTACTGGCAAGTCGACTAAAATGTTTCATCGGACGACTAAAAAGACTGTTTGGTCGACCGATCCAAGCATTCGGCCAACTGAAAAACTAATACAACAGATACTTAAATTTACTAAAAATTTAATTTTCTAAATTCAAATTAAAATAGAAAATCAAATCTAAAAATAGTAAAACTTGGGAAACGTTTATACATATGAAAATGAATATGTTGGAAAAGGAATTTCTAAAATAGCATTTTCCAATTGTGAAAACTCATTATTTTGCAAACGCGTCAAAAATACAAAAACTTTAAATATGATCTCATCGATTTACAGAATCAACAAAAATACGAAACTGTTAAATACTTGATTCAGATGAAATCATTTTAAACACATTATCTTCTCAAAAGATGTATAATACGATAAATCGAAATAACGTGTACGTGTATGGTTGAGCTTTAAGTATAAGCACATAAAGTACAAAACTAAGCTACTATACCCAAGCTAAGAATTTTCATGAAGCTCGATCTTGGTAGCGGGAATGAAACGATAGTGTGTCTTTGACTTGAATGACATCATGCTTCATTCTGATTTCCTCCAACCTCCATGAATATCATCGTTAATGCTCAAGTCTATCCAACCTCCAACAGAGGATGTTTGTGTAGGATACCTAACAAGCAAATGCAAATACTCGAAAACAATGTTAGGAATTATTTGTTAATCATCAAAACCAAATTAGACAATAGCCTCATAAACATGAGACCTAATACAAACAATCCAATAAAATGGTGTTACTTCGCACTTACCCTTACTAATGATTTTTTCTATTGCTTATTTGCAATCATAATGATTGATTTTATTCTAGTGATGCATACACAAACATAAACATCGGATGACAATAAGGAGATCAATATCAACAAACAGAGCACAACTAGCTAAAGACAACCATTGTCACGTTTCCCAACAGGTATCCTATGAATAATATACTCTTATCTAAGTATTTTCATTAATCCACTAAAATAGTCTTGTTCTTCAGTCAAACAGATAAATAACATATTAATCATATATGTATATTCATGTAATTGTTTTTTCAACGTGACGCTAATTAAATCCCATCTCATATCGTTGATGGACCTATCCAGCAATATATTATTCAATGGGCAAAAAAAAGATTACATTATTAAATGGACACGAGACGCTCCTAACATAAATTTCTCAAGTTATGAGAAAATTGTAAAGAATGTAGGCTGCATGTAAAATTTACATGAGAAAAGGACTAGAGTTCAATAGATGACCATGATATGAACATTGGATTTCTGATTGATGATGGATATACCCTTCGCATTCTCCTCATGTGAAGTAGTGTTGCTACTTCAGCAATATTTAGTGAAAGTTTGTAAAAAGGACTTAGAATGGTGATGTATGTAATGTTAAGGACAACCACTAAAGACTTTGAAACATTAAGGACCTAGGCGATATTTGACTGATACATCAGATACCTCCACAGAACTTTTACCAAAGAATAAACTAGATTCTTTTTGGAATTATATGTTAAAAGTTTTAATTCTTTAAAAAATTTTCCTAATCAAATTTTTATTCTAAAACCACTCTCAGTCTTAGAACCTATTGCACCATTTTAATTATTTAATTATCTAGATTAATGATGATGTAATTATAAATTGAATGCAAAATTGTTGATTTCGAGTAGGAGACCATTCTGATAGAGTTGTGGTGCCTAATGAATTGTGTGCGTTCTCTCTTGTAGCTGTAGCTTCATCAAAAGGGAAAAAAGTCAATGCATGGCTGTGAGATGTAGTCAATTGCCAAATCAAGTAAAAAATCGATGTTTTTTTGTTATCATCTTTTCTTTCTTTCTTGTTTTATCTCTCACTTATAGGAGATTACATTCCAAGGAAAACCATATGAATAGAATGGAATTGTGGGTCTGGACCATCTCCACGTTGATTAGGATAGTTGGACTGTGCGGTTGTGCCTAATTTGGTCAGCACGAAATAGAATTTGCTTTTTTGTTCGTCTGTTTTAAATCTCTCTCTATATATATGAGATTAATGGGTATCCTTGTCATAGGAGGGGATTTCCTCCTTAACTCCTCTAAAATCACATGATTGAGCGACATTATGGATGATCCGCTCCGTTGAACTTGATCTACATATTCTAAAACCCCAACACACCAAGTTTGGAGTGAACTCGTCGTCGTTTGACTCTTCATTCACTCGTATCAATTTTAACGGTTTTGAATGAATAGAAATTTTCACTTGGCTCGATGGAGGGTCAAACGACGACGGATTCACCCTAAACTTGGTGTGTTGGGGTTTTAAAATATGTAGATCAAGTTCAACGGAGCGGATCATCCATAATGTCTCTCAATCATGTGATTTTAGAGGCGTCAATGAGGAAATCCCCTCCTATGACAAGGATACCCATTAATCTCATATTATAATATATATAGAAATATGGGTATGCTTGGTACCAAACACAAATTTTTTTTTCTTGGTAGTGAGGTGATACAATATTCTCCACTCATTCAAATGGGGGGCCACATTCACATGGGTTGAGGAGTGCATGGGGATATGCAACCATTTGAATGAGTGGAGGGGATTATGTCACCTCACTACCAAGCACCAACAGGAAGAAGAAGGGTTTGCCTCCAGGGACCATGGGCTGGCCTGTGATTGGAGAAACTACCAGGTTTCTTAAGCAAGGGCCAGATTTCCTGAAGAATCAGAGGGCTAGGTGAGATTTTTGTCATTAAATAGTTTTTTGCTGAGTTGGGGTGAAGTTTGTAGCTAGGTTTGATTAAATTTGCAGTCATTTTTAGTAACATTATCTTGGTTTTTGTCCCCATCTTTTTCCTTTTTTTTTTACTTTTCTACTTTTGAATATTTGATGCCTGTAGGACTTTAGGGGACTCATTCTTGAAGTAGTAGATAATGGAAAGGGGGAGTTAGTCTGATTTGAGCTAGCTGGTTGTTTCTTGAGCCTGCAGTCCCTTTTCCAAATTGCATGGCAGAGAAAAAGGAATTCCTTACTCAACCAAGTACTTGAAGAACTTACATTTCGTACCAACATTACAGCCCTATTAATTGTCTCTATAGTCAACCAACCTTTCTTTTTAATGCATAATCTAAAGGCATAATTGCACTTAAATACCCTTTAGTTTCCCTGTCCTCGCAGTTAAATGCCTTATAGTTTCAAACTGAACTAAAAATGCCCGAAGTATTTAAGAAGTATTTAAGTTGTAGATGAATACCTCATAGTTTAAAAAAACGCTACCTTTTCTCTATGTTACATAACAGAGGTTAGTAAAATGAAGCTTTTAGAAACTTTAGGGTATTTAAGTGAGACCATTATAAACATTGGAGCATTTGTATGCAACATGGGTTAAACAAGAGGGTACCAACGTGCAACATTATGAAATTTTGAGACATTTATTTGCAAGACTTAAATACTTTGGGGTATTTTTTTTGTCCGGTTTTGAAATTTTGAGACATTTATTTGCAAGAGGGTACCAACATGCAACATTATGAAATTTTGAGAGGAATTCTGACATAAGATTTTGCTGAGGTGACAGCCAAATCCAATAATTTTCTTTAACAAGCTTCCCTCAAAACAATGTAGAAACTTTGACACACGGATTTGATTCCAATTAACGTATTAGTGTGGGACCGATTCGTTACACAAATCCTAAGGATTCTACCGAAACAAACAGACCATGATCTAGTAATCTACTCTTATATAATATATATATATATATATATATATATATAATATATATATAGTATAAGTTAGAGAGAGAGAGAGAAGAGAAGACGAATATAGGTAGCTTGTACAAGCACAAACTTTTTAGCTTGGTAGTGATGTGTAATCCGCATCACTCACATATCATTGAATTTGTCTCACATTGAATGAGTGGAGGGAGATTTGACACTCACTACCAAGCGCATACCATATTTCTCATATAATATATCTATATTGTATATAAATATATAATATATATTATATATATTTAATATAATATTATTACTTATATATATTAATATATATATATTATATTATGAATATTATATTAATATATATATATTATAATATTATATTATATTATATATATATACTATTGTAACGTTTTTATTTTTTTATTTCTCTACAGATTTTGTATTAAGATACGTTTTGTAAGCGCTATAATCACAAAATTTTTAAATACTACGGATCCTCCTGAGCTAACATAATAAGTGTACGGTAATGATTTTAACGCTACAGTTCTTTCTTTGCTACTGGCCAATATAATGCCTTACAGTAATTTACTGTAGCTATGACTATAAATGTTTGATCTCTATCTTGATATAACGGACAATACTACGTATTTACTTATAGTATTGAAGTAGTAAATTTTTGACCTCGTCATTATTTTAATATATTAATATTTGTATATATATATATATATATATATATATAAATCATTAATATATATTATATATTTGCCGTATGCTTGGTACAGCATAATTTTGGTTTTGTAGCGACGATAGTCTCATTCCCAGAGCCACTCATTCAGAATTTGCTATATCTCATCACAATCAACTTCATTGTGAATATGATCCTCTATTGAATGAGTAGAGGAGAATATGACATCTACATAAGCATAAAATTTGTTTGGTACCAAACATACTCATATTTTCTCATATATGCATATGCTGATGCACTCCTCAATCCACTGTAATTAGCCTCATCTTGAATGAGTGGAGGATTGCTAATCTCACTACACACAGACAAATGTGTGCTTGTACAAACATATCTATTTCTCATTATATATATATTAATAATATATATATTATAAAATATATTATATTATATAATAATATTAATGAGTTTATGTACTATGAGGAGATTCCTCCTTGTCGGCTATTTGACACAATCCTCACCATCCTCATAAATTAAGCAGCATGATCCCCACAACTCACACTCTCTCATTATTTAATGAGGATGTGAGATTGTGCACTAGACGTCAATGAAGAAAATTCCCTCATATTGATACAGATACTCATAATATTTTACATATATATAAATATAATAATATATATATATATATATTATATATATATATATATTAATATATATACGAAAATGGAAAGAGCTGGCAGCTCACGGCCTGAGTGACAGCTCGTATATACATGTGAGCCCCCTAATAGTTCACACTCTAGTATGGCGTTTCACATGCATAAGAGCTAATCAGGTCACGGGGTCGTGAGCTGGCAGCTTTCTCAGCAACCATATTATATATATATAATATATTATATATATATTTATATATATATATATATATATATATATATATAATATAATATATATATATATATATAGGAAGAGAAGAGAGAGGACGGTACATGCCTTCCATATAATGAAAGCATGATTTTTTGCTTTGGCGCTTTCGTGAGGGAGGCCATATGGAGAGGGGAGAAGGTACAATTAAGGTGTGTCCCTTGTCAGCAAGATATTACTAATACCCAAACCAAGGGCAGTGTCCTTTCCAACTTCCCACGTTCTCCCTTTCCCTCTATGTCAGTGCCCTACATGCCTTCCCCTCAATATCTTTGTACTCTTCTTCCTCACTTTATGCTCTCTCTCTCTCTCTCTCTCTCCAGAGATAAGTTGATGATGCCTCTAGGTTATAAAATCATAACCCACAGCTTTCACTGCAATTTTGAAATTTTTGTGTAGTGTTGCGGTGACACAGACGCGATGCCTCTAGGTTATAAAATCATAACCTCAGCTTTCACTGCAATTTTGAAAATTTTTGTGAAGTGTTGCGGTGACACAGACGCTTAAATTTCAACTACCAAGAGTTTAAATCATATTTTGAAAATAAATTGATTTTTATCCGTGTATCGGCCAGTAAAAAGAACACTAACTTATGAAAATTGTTAGAATGTAATATTGCAACTGTTAATCATGGCTGTAACTTTAGAGTTTTGGTGGGGTCTAATAATATATTCAAAAAGTCATGAGCAAAGTTACTTGCATTAGCACACTTCCTATATAAAAGAAAAGAAGTTCAAAAGTGTAGCTACTAGCTAGGGTTGGATCTTTTGTGAAAGCATGTCTATGTGGAGCTCAAAAGGTTACATCAAATTCACTAACTTATTACCACTTTGTGAAGCACTGAGAATCTTACAACAAACTTTAATTGTAGCAGGACAATGTTGACTTCATGCAGGGAATTACATATTGGGTGTTGATTATGATTTCATGATCTCATGTTAATTCTTTCTAATAGTGTATTTGTTGAAATATGCATATATACACAATAATAGAAGCACATCGATCAGCTGTCACCTAAGCTAATTAATATTCTACTTGATTTGTTTTGGGGGGCTATAACATGACATGCAGAAACTAACAGTTGTTAGACTGCCATATGATATTTAGTGACTACTAGAGAGAAAGGCCTATATGTCATTCATTGTTGACACCAATCAAAATGATGTAGACAGACGTTTATTAAAAACAAAAAAGTTTTGCTGCAGAACTGTCTACATAGAAATTAATTAAGTACCAACTTCACAGGTTAGCGAATGAAAATGCTTGAGGTTCTACTGACTTTTTACTCATAATTAGTTGCATATATCCCTTTAGAGCAAACAACAAATTATAGTGATTATATAATATATCCAAGTTCATCCTATAAATGATTTATGTTTAAGTACATCAATAAGTACATATATTTAGTAAAAGAACGTGTATATATAATACACTATATGATCATAATTTCATCTCATGATATTATTTCACATCTTTAGCAATATATAGGAATAATAACAAGAACAAAGAAAAAAAAGGAACATAGGGTAACTCATAAAATTCTACTATAGGCATCAATTAATACTTCCTTATTGCCTTAGTATCTTCTTCAACCTCAACTCAATCTTTTGAAGCTTGACAAATCAAAATCAATGGAAATTTTGTTGATCAGGCCACTGCCAGAAGCCAGACTGATCGTCGATACCACATAATAAATTACTGAAATTCTCATCTGAGACAGTATTTTGTTCAGTCTTGGGGCAATGGAAGAGTTGAATCATTGAAGATGGCCTAATTGAAGGGAAGAAGGGAATGCTCTGGCGAGGATTAATTGGACTAGTCTCAATGTGTGGCTGTGGTGTCCTTGATACATCCAAGTTGTGCTCAGAACTATTTTCACTTCTATTGCTGCAAGAGCCCTCAGTTTCTTTATTCAAATTGATCATCATTTCTGATGTCTCCCTGCCTTTAAGAGCCAAGATCTGCAAAATTTTAGTAATTGGTTAAATAACATCTATGAAATATGAAAGATTAAAAACAACAATAAGTACACCCTATCAGTGATTCGTTATCGAATATGTCAAGAGTAAAAGATATGAAACATTAAATTCAGTCGGTCATTCAAAGAATAGGACATCTTACTGAATATGCACTTCTTTGGAAAGAGCCAAATTAAAAGAAATTAAGAGGATAAAAACTAGTTCAGGTGAAACAAAAGCTGAAAAATTCACATTGAAATCTTAAAGCCCATGTCAAATTTTGAGTACCCAATAATTCAATTATAAGGGTGACAAAGAAGGGGGGAAAAAAGAAACAAGCATCAAACTAAATAAGGGGAAAAAAGGTAGAAAAATAATACATCCAATCATTAGCATTACACTATCTTTCTCAAAAGACTCACAACCAACAGCAATCTAATCCTTAAAACTTTTCTCCAAAAGAAAAAAAAATTACCTCAGCTTGTAACTTCTTGTTGTGAGTTTGTAGAGCCTCATTTTCTGATCTAATAGCATCAAACTGTCTCTTGAGCACATCATAATCTCTCTCCAATTGCTTAGTCTTCCACCTTGCTCTCCTATTTTGAAACCAAATGGCAACTTGCCTTGGCTGAAGCCCAAGTGCAGTAGCCAACTGAGTTTTTCTCTCAGGCTCTAACTTGTTGGCAATCTCAAAGTTCTTCTCTAATGTCCTCACTTGCTCTATGTTGAGCCTCCTCTTCTTCTCCCCAGTTAGGGAACAGTCATCAGAGAGCTCGTCTTCTTCGCAATTGTGATTGATTGCGGAGAAGGACATTGATCTCTTTCCCAACATTTTATGTAGTTCAAGTTTGTTGTGAATGCTACCTCTGAATTCTTGGGGAAGAGAAGGGAGATCTTGGTGTAATTGATCATGGGGGGTTTGGATTTGGAGAAGGAAGTTGGGAGAGAAGAAGGGGGAGGAGTTGCAACCCATTTGGTCTAGATTGAGCATGGGGGACAATGAGGCAGTATGTTGAAAGGGATATGAGAAAGAGAGAGAGAGAGAGAGAGAGAAGGGTTGATGGGGCATATAAGATGGGGTATTGAATATGATATGAGAAAAATATGCATCCTAGTGGAAAGAATAACAAGAAGACTCATCATTGGGATATGAGATGAAGGAATTATAGTAAGAATTGCAATGTTAAAAGAGAGTGCGAATTTGGAACTTGAAGTATACCTAGAGGGTGTTTTATGGAGCTTAATTATTTTTTCGGTTAAGCTAGTTTCTAAGGTAGCTTTTCTATATTTATCCATTTGGTAAAATACCAGATAAGTTAATTTATAAGCCTCATTTTGAAAAGCTGGTATACATCGGCTTCTCAAAAACAAGCTTATAAGTGAAGAAATTACAGAAACTCAGAAGAATCAGGCAAACCAGGCGGCGGTCGACCGGTCCGGTCGACCGCATTCGTGCACAAAGCTTACTGTGCGACAGAAAGGAGGTCGGTCGACCGGGCCAGTCGACCGCAGGTGTTTCGGTCGACCGAGGGGTTCTCTGGAGTTTTGGGTTTTCTACTGGGAGCTGGTCGGTCGACCGGGCCGGTCGACCGGAATTGATCGCGATCGACCGTGCCGGTCGACCGACGCTGTTTTGGGCTGGGCTTTCAGGTTTTCGACCCGATTCGTTTTGTAAGTTCTATATATACCTAAACATGTTTGTTTAGTGTAGAGGTTGGACGAATTTAAGCAGCCAAAGAGAGAGAATCATTGCATCCAATTGTGAGAGAGCTTTGAGAGATCTAGAGTTTTGTTTTAGGGTTTAGTCTGAGAGATTTGTAATCCTATTTGTATTCTCTTGATTTCTAGTAGAAAGAACTCCCCCTCCTTGCCCCGTGGACGTAGGCAACTTGCTGAACCACGTAAATTCTTGTTCTTGCTGTGATTGTGGTTTGCATATTATTTGTGGTTTAGTTCAAGTTATTGTTCGTGTTGTCCTAGAAAGCTTCCGCCGCACACAACAAGTAGTATCAGAGCTAGATCGACAACATGGGAGATGCAAGCACGTCAGGTTTGTCTCTAACAAAGGCGATACAGAGTCTGAGTATCAATAACACGAAGATTGATATTCTGAAGTTCGATGGCAAGATCAATTTTGGATTGTGGAGATGTCAGGTGATGGACGCTTTGGATGCACAGAATCTGGAGGAGACTCTTGAGTTAAAAGAGAAACCCGCTGAGTTGGAGGATAAGGTTTGGAGAAAGATGAACAGTAGAGCTTGTGGTGTTATTAGGTCATGCTTGACGCCAGATCTTATTTATGATGTTATGAACGAGACGTCGGTAAAGAAGATGTGGGAAACACTCAATGAGAAATATCTTACGAAGAGCATTGAGAATCGGCTTCACTTGAAGAAGAGATTTTACCAGTTCAAGATGAAGAGAGGGGTTTCCATCAGGGAGCATGTCAACAATTTCACTAAGCTACTTTCAGATATGGCCAATGTTGATATTATAGTTGAGGATGAAGACAAGGCGATGCTACTTCTGTGTTCGTTGCCCGAAGATGATTATGGTACGTTCGTTCTCACTATGATCAATGGAAGAACTACAGTTAGCTACAAGGAGGTGACCTCAGCTTTGGTGAACTATGAGTTGAGGAAGAGTGATGGTGAACCCTCCGAGAAGGCATCGGGAGATGCGTTAGCAGTTCGAGGCCGAGATCCAAACCGTCGTCAGTTCAACCGCTCAAAGTCAAAGAATAGGAGTGCCTATAAGAGTGTTGGTAGAAATCAATGTCGGTATTGTAAAGAAGAAGGACATTGGAAGATTGACTGCCCAAAGTGGAAAGAAAAAGCCGGAAAGAATAAGGGGAAAGCTGCACAAGCTTCAGAAGTGAATGTTGCAAAAGCTATTGGTGAGCATTCAGATTCAGATTCTTCAGGCTATTCATGCCCTGCTTTACCGTCGGTTTGCTATGCGGATTCCACGGAGTGGATGATGGATTCGGGAGCTACATATCACATCTGCCCTAAGAGGGAGTGGTTTTCTAGCTTTGAGGAGCTGGAAAGAGGGGATGTCGTGCTTATGGGTAATGATCACGTATGCCCTATTGGTGGTATTGGTTCAGTCCGGATCAGGATGCATGATGGTGTAGTGAGGGAATTGAAGGAAGTGAGGTTCGTGCCGCAGTTGACGAAGAACATCATTTCTCTTGGGACTTTGGAGGCAGCAGGATATCGAGTGATCTTAGAGGATGCTACAGTGAAGGTCACGAAGGGTTCTATGGTGGTGATGCGAGGTGTCAGGGAAAACTACCTATACTACTTGAAGGGCAAGACAGTTACAGGGGGTCTGGCAGCTTCTATCACTACAGAGGAGGACACTACCACCTTATGGCACATGAGACTTGGACACACAGGTGATAAGTCCCTACAGTCATTGACAAAACAGGGGCTATTGAAAGGTGCTAAGACCTGCAAGATGGAATTGTGTGAGCATTGTGTACTTAGGAAGAATACTAGAGTGAAGTTTGACACCGCTGTTCATAACACCCTAGGTACATTGGATTATATTCACACAGATGTTTGAGGTCCTTCCAAGAACACATCTCTTGGTGGGGCCAACTATTTTGTCACTTTCATTAATGATTATTCCAGGAGGAATTGGGTATACCCGATGAAGCATAAACATCAGGTCCTGGATATTTTTGTGGAGTGGAAGAAGAAAGTGAAGCTGCAGACAGGTAGAAAGGTGAAGACTCTACGTTCAGATAATGGTGGAAAGTACAAGAGTGATCCGTTTCTGCAGTTTTGCCGGGATCACAGCATTAAAAGACACTTTACAGTTCGAGAGACACCACAACAGAACGGGGTGGCTGAGAGATTGAACCGTACCTTGCTGGAGAAGGTGCGGTGTATGATGACGCAGAGTGGATTGCCTAGATCCTTTTGGGCTGAGGCGTTAGTTTATGCGAGCCATCTCGTGAACAGGTTGTCGTGCACTGCGATAGATGGGAAGACTCCTTTGGAGCGTTGGTTTGGTTCGGAGGCTAGTGACTATGAGTCGCTTCGGATATTCGGGTGTCCAGCTTATTATCATGTCAGTGATGGTAAATTAAATCCGAGAGCGAGGAAAGCAGTCTTTGTGGGATTTAGAGATGGAGTCAAAGGCTTCAAATTATGGGATCCACAGGACAAGAAGATAGTTATTAGCAGAGATGTCACATTTGACGAGGCGTACATGATGAGGCCTCGAGCCCCTCAGCAGGTGGAGGGAGACCAGACAGGAGAGATATCACAACAGGTGAAGGTTGATGTGACTCCACCCACTCCAGAGAACACTGTATCCATTGAGGCTCCTACAGAGGTGACACTGGGAGGAGATGAGGTGATAGTTGGGCAGATAGAAGATACAGTGGATCATGGGACTCAGGAACAGGGTCATGTTCAGAGGACCATTGCAGTAGATAGACCGAGGAGAGAGATTCGTCGGCCAGCTAGGTATAATGATGTCATGGTCGCATATGCATTATCAGTAGAGGTCGTTGATGATATGGTTCCAGCCACATTCAGGGAGGCAGAGTCTAGCCCTAATTTGATCAGGCGAAGGGAAGCTATGGAGGAGGAGATGCGATCTCTTCAGAAGAACGACACTTGGACACTTGCACATCTACCTAAGGGTAAGAAAGCTATTGGTTGCAAGTGGGTATATGCGAAGAAGGAGGGATCTTCTATTGGGGACATTCGGTTCAAAGCCAGATTAGTTGCCAAGGGATATGCACAGCTTGAGGGCATTGATTACAACGAGGTATTTTCACCCGTTGTGAAGCATTCGTCGATTCGGATTTTATTGGCATTGGTGGCACAGTTGGATTTGGATTTGGTCCAGATGGATGTGAAGACAGCCTTTCTACACGGTGATTTAGATGAGGAGATCTACATGACACAACCACAGGGTTTCAAAGCTGCAGGAAAGGAAAATTTGGTTTGTAAGCTGAAGAAGTCTCTTTATGGTTTGAAGCAGTCACCAAGACAGTGGTATAAGAGATTCGACGGCTTTATGATTGGCCGAGGGTACACGAGGAGCCCATATGACCCATGTGTTTATATGCACAAGCTACAGGATGGTGAGCTCATATATTTGCTTTTATATGTTGATGATATGCTTATTGCTTCCAGGAATTCTTCGGCTATTCGAAAGCTGAAAGAGGAGTTATCATCCGAGTTTGAGATGAAGGATCTTGGAGAGGCAAAGAAGATATTGGGTATGGAGATCGAGCGAGACAGGGTGAAGGGGAAATTGAAGCTTACACAGAAGAGCTACTTGCAGAAGATGTTGAAGAAATTCAGCTTTGATGGCAATGCAAAAGCAGTTAGCACACCATTGGCTCCCCACTTCAAGCTTTCAGCGTTGATGTCACCTGTTTCAGTTGAGGACAGAGATTATATGTCGAAGGTCCCATATGCTAGTGCAGTAGGTAGCTTGATGTATGCGATGGTGTGTACGAGGCCAGATTTGTCACAGGCCGTGAGCATGGTATCGAGATACATGCAAGACCCCGGGAAGGGTCACTGGGAGGCCGTGAAGTGGATTCTACGGTATGTTCGAGGCACCGTGGATGTTGGTTTAGTGTTTCAGAAGGATGAGAAGGACGGGCAGGCTTGTATTGGTTATGTGGATTCAGATTATGCTGGAGATCTTGACAAACGCCGGTCTACGTCAGGTTATGCTTTTACATTGGCAGGTGCACCTGTATGTTGGCGTTGCACGCTTCAGTCCACAGTGGCTCTCTCTACTACAGAGGCAGAGTATATGGCAGTTACTGAAGCTATTAAGGAGGCTTTATGGTTGCGTGGATTATTGGAGGACTTGGGGATTGCACAGGAGACTATTCGGATATATTGTGATAGTATGTCGGCTATCTATTTGGCGAAGAACCAGGTTTATCATGCGCGCACGAAGCACATCGACGTCAGATTCCACTTTGTACGGGACGTCTTGGATGATGGAGATGTCATATTGGAGAAAGTCCACACAAATGACAACCCTGCAGATATGTTGACCAAAGTTGTTTCAGGAGTGAAATTTGGTCATTGTTTGAAGCTTTTGAACATCCTTCAGTGCTGAGGCCTTTGGAGAC